GAAACATAAGTATAAGTAATTTATACGAAAATACATCGGTTCAATTTAATTGTCGTCATCAATAGGAGTGATTAAGTCCTCGGAAATCGTGTTTTGTTTCAAATTTTTCAAATAACTGTGGTATATTGGAGGTATATAATTAAGCAAGTCCATCATGTCTTTGTATTTTGCTGAAGAANTGTTTCAAATTTTTCAAATAACTGTGGTATATTGGAGGTATATAATTAAGCAAGTCCATCATGTCTTTGTATTTTGCTGAAGAAACAGGACGAGATCCAGCGTATAACGGATCCATTTCTATTTGTGAATAACGCCTAGGTCTTCCTCTTTTTGGTGACAAATCCAAAGTTAGAAATTCATCTTTTTCATCTAAAGTTAGTTTATAAAACATTTTATAGCCATCTGCTGGCGGATCTGGAGGTAGCCGTCACATCACTATAATATAATTCACAAAATTGCACTATTCTTTCGCACTTATAAAAATAAGTCCAGTGATCACAACCTTTTTAAAAATACTGAAAATAATTCAAAACGATACTTCACACACACTTCTCACACGTTTCTATTTCTTTTACACTAAGCCCCGCAATTAATTTCCCGAGTACAGCGACTTATGCCACTTTCGAAATAAACATGTTTTTTATACCGTTAATTAGCAAAACTTCTCTGGAACAAATCTTAATAGTTCTCAACTTATTGATTGCAAATTTTTTTTTAATGAAAAGATATCGTTCAATTGTAATTAGTGTTACCATTAACTCGACTTTTTTGAAAAAGTGACTTATGCCACTTTCAAAATAAACGGCTCAACTATGAATTGCAACGTTCAGTGATCTCAAGATCGTCTTGATGGATGAATAGGAAAATCGATACTTAACGCGGTAAATCTTTGGATTGAAAATGTCCCATCTTCTTGACGCATGGTGGGACATTTTTAGACCCAGCTGGAAATACTGCAACAGCTGCATGCGCATTCGTGAACCCATGTGAACCCGGATGATGAAGCATTAATCCTTTGCACTGGAGACTATTTTTTCATTATTATATGAGACTATATTTTCATTGTTTTTTTTTCAATCTAACAGTATTTCCAATATATATAATTATTTTTATTTGATGCATACGATACGCGTACACTTATAGAAGAGTTCTATTCTTCGACAACTTATCGAATACAGACAAATTTTTATCATGTGAAAATACTTTTGAAAATAGTGTAGCAATTTTTAGCGTCGCCTCGGAGTCGCCAGGGTTTAGAGTGCAAAGGGTTAAAGTGACAATGAATTGTTCATAATTTCCCAGTTTATTATTTTTCTTCGTCTGTAATATTTAACTCTGATATTAAATAATATTTTAACCTAATCTAGTATTAATTTAATATCAATGTTCGTTCCGTATAATGCATACATGCCGTAGGTTTTTTATTAAACGCTTAACGTTCCTATCGTTCACACGCTTGTATTGCTCAACGAAAGATACTATTTCCTTTATTGATGTTCAATCAAGAAGATCAAATATTAACAAGTATAAAGTAGCGTAAACGTTTTATGGGGAAGCAGTGATATTTATATTTACCGAAGATTTATTGAGAAGATTCAAGATCATTTACCGAAGATTCGAGAGATCCATACTGCGCAAGATATGGACCGTGCATTAATGTTTATACAAAATTTAGATTTATTGGCAATAGTATAAAAACGAAATAAAACAATATCCCGTGCATTTTTCATTATTTCTGCAAATCTAAGCCTATTATTTCAATAAAAGTATTCAAACGCGAACACGCTGTACAGTAATTTCTCCCAATTTCGTGCTGAGATAAAAATGGACAATTTGAGAAGCGGAGATACAATTATTCGAGACTCGCTGCTCATTTGTTATATTGGGTTGGCAACAAAGTAATTGCCGATTTCAGTTACAGATGTCTCTCACTCCCATTTTTATGATATCCGTGAATGTTATATTATAAAATTATTATTATTATTATGTTGTTTTTTATTATCCGTGAACGTTCACTTCTTCCATTTTTAATTATTATTTGCCGTTATCTTTCTTTAGTTTTATTTCACGCATGTTGCAATGAATCCCAAAATAGCTGAAATCAATATTTCGAAATGCTCAACACACACACACACCTCTCTCTTTGGTAATTATCAATCATGTGGGTGGATTTTTTCAAACACTTTGACTGTTAATATAACGATCATAAAAATGGTATAAAACCTAGGCATTTTATTTGATTGCATCGAAATTGTAAGTTAACTGAAATGTTACATGAAACGAAATTAAAATCTGTTTATACTGTTTATACTGTTGATCTAACGATTGTAAAAACTGTATAGAATCGAGGCATTCTATTTAATCGCATCGAAATTGTAAGTTAATCGAAATATGCAAAATTAGAGTCTGTTTATAATTTTCGATGTTAAAAGATTCGTTTATCGATTAAAAGGAAACAGTATTGTCACAATACGTCAAAATTTAACATATGCATATGAAACAGTTAATACGATAACAAATAAATCAAAGTTCCGATGAAGTTTCAAAAGTTTCAACGAAGAGTCTGTTATTCCTTTAGGTTTAGTTGATTATGTTGTACCTTATTAATTTATCGTACTTAGAATCGAATCAAAACAACATTTTGTCAGAGATACATGGATAATATTCGACGGTAGAGCTTCAATTTTATTTTAATAATATGAAAAATCTGTGCGATCAATGTATCTACATAAACGCATTTTCTGTTACAAAATGCTTGTTAATATATTGGGTTGGCAACTAAGTAATTGCCGATTTCAGTTATAGATGTCTCTCACTCCCATTTTTATGATATCCGTAAATGTTATATTATAAAATTATTATTATTATTATGTTGTTTTTTATTATCCGTGAA